TTTCTTAACTTCTAACCGTGGTTTTTTCTTTTTCATTTTATTTTTTTGGAATATATTGCTGCTATTGTTCACTCGTACGGAGTATGATTCTCAAGAAAGGTCCTTTTCATTGTCCAATGTTTATAAACAAAAATTGTCTGTGTACAGTGTACACAAGCAATTCATTTGAAAGAGGACGGGATTTTCTGCCCAAATGTTTGTGTACACAGACGATGTACAGATTGGGGTACCCCAAGAAAGACTCCTTTATAAATGAAGCAAAAATGTTGTTGGTACACGTCATTTTAACCATTCGACCAATGTGTAAAATAACTTGTACAAAAACGTATACACGAAACATGATTGTTTTTCATCTTAGGGGAGAGGCTGGGGGAAGCCTGAGGTAAACAGGACTCAAAAATCTCCATAGAGTTTTGAACGCGAGACTTCACAAATGGGAGAGTTAGTCGACGATTAGTTGAACTTGACTGCTTCATCACACGAAGCATGATTGATAAATAAAGTATCATATGGTGTAAGAATGTTTTTACTTTAGGTCGTTTTCGGCCCCCACACAAGATCAAACCAGATAAAATCAATTCAGATTTAATAGTTCAAACCAGACTTGAACAATAATAAAATAAAATAACAGAGACCGGACATTTACTAGTTTGTACCAGATCAAACTAAACTAGACCAGATCACACCATAAAGTTTTAGTCGAAGTAAAAACATTCTGATATTGCAATTGAAAATGTTGGGACATTGGGCCGCAACCCAATATACCCGGCCCAGATCGGATAGAGGCCCAAGGAAAAGAGCAAGCCCAAAGGAGTCAGAAGAAGTCATGACACCTCGCTCGAGCAGCCCGTTCGGCATGTCCCGGACGGCCTAATCATCCAACTTGAAGTAATTAACAGAGTACCAGCATCGATTGATCATCCGCCTATGGAGTTAAAACCCCGAACGGGGTACCCGACCGGGAAACACACATGTGGCAGACTGCATGAAATACTAGAGTATGGCGGTAGCAAGTGGAGACATGGGTGCACAAGTGGCAAGGGCAGCATCCAACCGAGTTTGGCCACGTCATCACCCCACCTACCCCCTCGTTAGTATAAATATACACATTGAATACATTGTAAAAGGTTAGCATTTTGATACTCAGAGCCTAAGAATAGATTATCTCTCTAGTTCTTGTATTAGTCACTATTTCGGTGTGCCGTTCGGGTAGTTTTAGTGTAATCAGTGAATTACTTAATACAAGTTGGCTTGTTGAGTTCATATTATTCAGTTTTTATATTTTATTCACCCTATAACCCCAAAACCTACGTCCTGAATATCCAAAGCGAGTGTTGGGCTTTCGGATCTGCGGGATTAAACCTCAACATTGGCGCTGTCTGTGGGAACACTTTGAACAAAAATCCCAGAGCAAGCTACTGATCTAAGCACCACTCTTGCTTCAAAGATGGTCAGAATTACTTCAGCGACACCCAGCTCTACCTCTAGGGGACGAGGGGGCAACAAGACCTCCAGGAACTCGTCCACCCAGGGCCATCCCGAAGGAAAGTCGTCGCAAACATTCCATGGAGGATTCTAGAATGTTATTCCAGATGCGGTCAGGGGAAACCCTCAGCTGATGAGGGAAATGGCGGTCGCTATGCAGCGCATGGAGGATGAGCAGGAGAGGGGGGATCCACCTTCACAGATGAGACAGAATATGTTTCATTCTCCCCCATCCACTCTATGCCCCCATTTGACGAGGAAACGGGTGACACCGAGACCACCCCAACTTCGGTGCACTCTTAGGCACACAGGGGAGGACCCCTGGAGAGCCCGCACCCCCGGCGACACACCCCTACTGATCAGACCCTGTTCATGCCAAGAAACGGGGCTCATGCTAGGGAACCTACTCCGATAGTAGACCCCGTGGGACAACATTTTCAGTATGTTGAAAGGGATGGAGAACGCTTCATCCGAAGGAGAAGGGAGACAGCGGCACCCCCACCCTAACGAACTCCAGAATTTGTGGATCTGATGACTCCACCCCCACCTCCCCGAACGGCCCAGGATGAGGAGATGGCCGAAATGAGGAGGCGGATGGCCGAACTAAGGGAACAGGTCAACAGGACGCCCCGGCAAGCTCCACCGACTCGCGTTGGAATCACTTTTCCCTTTAATAGGGAGATCATGAATGCGGAAATCCTGAGGGATTGCCGACCGACGACCAGCCTAACCTACGATGGGGTGGGAGATCCCCATGTGCACCTGAGGAGTTATCAAGGAGGCCTCATGCTATTGGGGGCCACAGATGCAGCAATTTGCAGGTTGTTTTTCAACACTCTTAGAGGGTTAGCCCAGGAGTGGTTCGGCACATTGCAGCCTGGCTCGATCGGGAGTTTTGCCGAATTGTCGACTTTTTTCTTGGCACAGTTCGCTTCCAGTACAACCCCGAAGCTGCATTTCGGGTACCTGACCCGTGTCAAACAGGGACCAAAGGAATGCATCAAGCCGCTCATGACAAGATGGAGGAATGAGACCCTGAAAGTTGGAAGCATGACGGATGAGACAACAATCATCCTTTTTATCGATGCCCTCCGGACCGGGGAGCTTTACCGGGACCTGAAGAAGAATCCAGGCACAAACTATGTTGAAGTGCTGGAGAGGGCCCGAAAGCAGGCAGCTCTGAAGGAGGAGATCAGGATTAGAGACAGAACAACACAACCACCTGCCCCTACAAGGTTGGCCGGCCGGTTGGGTCCTTTTCCAGCGGTCGCACTCCATTCGAAGACAAGACGCCTCACCCCGCTCTTCCTCTCGATCACAACTATACTTCAAAACGAGAAGGACAACATTCCCCCTCCAACTGACACCAAATCCTTCCAGGGGACAGATGAGAACGCCTACTGCAAGTACTGCAAACAGAGAGGGCACCTCACCCAGAACTGCCGAGCATTGGTCATTGCCATTGAAGACTTTATCCAGCAGGGCCATTTGGGGAAGTACATCAACACCAACCCGAACAAACCTTCCCCAAATCTGCGCCAGTACAGGAAACCCAACAGTTGGAGGCAGGATGATCGGCGGGAGGTCGAACCGAGGAATGATGCGTACAACCCCCCCCCCCCCCCCAGGGAGGAAGCAGAAGGATCGGGGAATCCAGGGAAGAAACCGATGATGGAAGTGAAAGTTATCTTCAGAGGAAGAGAAACTGGAGATTCAGCGGCCGAACGGAAGAGGTTTGAACGGGGCCTCTACGTAACGTCCATGTCTACCCCGCCCCAGAAGAAGGGTGGGATGGAATCAATCACGTTCGGGACAACAGATTTGCCAAATTCACCAGGTCCGCACAGGGATGAGCTGGTGGTTGGTAAGTGCATATTGATAATGCCCTTATCCGCCGGGTTTTGGTGGATACAGGGAGCAGCGTGAACGTGTTGTACCTACACACATTCGAGAAGATGGAGCTAAGAAGGGATCAACTGACACCTTTGAAGACGCCACTTTTCAGCTTCACCGTAAATTGTATCGGGGCTGAGGGGACTATCCAACTCCTGGTCCAGATTGGAGACGAGACTCACCGAGCAGTGGTCTGTATGACGTTTGTGGTGGTGGACATCAACTGTGCCCACAACGCCATATTGGGCCGATCAGGGTGGAAGATTTGGAAGCGATTGCTTCAGTTCGACACTCATGTATCAAGTTCCTAACTAATAACGGGGTGGGAGTGGCCCGAACGGATCCGACGACAGCCCGAACATGTTATCAGGAGGCTATGAAGAAACTCAGCACCCGTGGGATGTGGGTAAACATCATTGAAGTGGAAACTTGGCGAACAGAGTTTGAGTCACGCCCTAAGTCGGCTACCCTCTTATGCCCCAGTTCTCGGACCCAGGGGACTCCGCTAACCCAGGGGAGCACCTGTACATGTATTTGGTCGTGGCTGATTTTGTAGTCAGCTCGGTCTTATTGAAGGAAACAGAGAGCATTCAGCGCTTGATTTATTTTGTCAGCAAGGCTCTGAACGGGCCGGAAACAAGGTATACATTAATGGAGAAGACCATCTCGGTCTTGATTGCGACTATCAAATGTCTGGCACCATACTTTCAAGCTCACCTGGTGACAGTTTACACAACCCAACCACTGACAACCATTCTGAGGAACCCAATGGCCAGCGGACGCATAACCAAATGGGCCCTCCTGATCGGTCAATATGAGGTGGACTTCAGACTTCGTCCTACCATTAAGGGTCAGGCATTGGTGGATTTCATTGCAGAATGCACCGCCCGACCAACTGAGGATGGCTCGAACGAGGAGATCCTGGACAACTTATGGGAAATGTATGTGGACGGAGCCTCTAGTGCCAAAGGCTGTGGTGGTGGAGCAGTGATCACCTCTCCGGAAGGGTTCAAAGCATACTATTCTATCACATGTACACCTTATTAAAGTGGTCTTTCTCTTCACCTCTAAGCCTTCTTTTTTCCTTGCTCATCGCTCTGTAAGCCTTCCAAATATTGACTGACATGGAATAATTCACTAGTACACACCTTTTGTCTGAATTCTTTGGTCTTTCAATTGGAGTGACTTTGAATCTCATTTAATCACCTATTAGAAACCTTGGTTGAGTTTACCATTTTGTCGTGATAAACCCAAGATCGCCCATCATGTGTGTCTTGGAAGTTTAGTTTCCTCTTGAAGGGAGTATTTACTACCTTTCTGAGATTGATTTTTCATGGGTAGCCTAAGTGTTTGCACTAGACAACAATCTTTCATCATCATTTTTACAAATTACACCTCCTTACCCATCCATTTTAAAAGAATGATTTTCAATTTCTTGTTTGAATTCATTCTTGGCATAAGATGTCATTCCTAGCTTCAAGGATGAGCTTTAAGATTAAGTTTGGACACAAAATGTACTCCACTTTTCAGATTAGCATCAGAGTCATGAGTAGAATCATCTTCAGACAAATTTGGATCAAGGTCTTCTAGTGATAGTTCAGTTTATTTGTTTTCTCCTTCGGTGTTGGTGTGCAATCCTCCATATTCAACTATTCAAGCTATGTTATTTGTAAAATCAACACCATCTTTACAAATGAAGTCCCCTAGATAAGAATCTTTATCATCCCCAAAAGAAAATCTTTTCGATCCTTCTCACTGTAAGTATAATTAATGTCTGAATGGTCATCATCTACATCTCCACCCTCATCCAATTCATCTAATTCAACCCATAACTCCACAACCTTAACCACACTACCATTATTCCCAAATTCCCAAATGCCCGAGTCACCTTTCAAATCATTTAATGAAGAAACTGAATAGGAAAGCACTGTCCTCACCTTCTCGGTGCAACCAAGTTTTTGTAGTTTCTCATTCAATACAGTTAACCCAAATTCATCCACATCTGGATCACAAAACAAATGGATAGTGCCTCCCTTTAACAAGGTGTGCATGTCTCACCGATTCTTCCTCCACACAACAATGTTAGAGTAAATGTGGTTTTACACAGGGCTACTTAAAAAGCATTTAATGTGGTAGTTCAGTCATTCAAAGTGTCTCTCATAACTAAATAAATATATACATAATAAAAGTATCATAAATACTAAATTTTCATAGTACACACAGATGTTTAGGTAAAGTAAAAAAGGAAAAAGAATATATATAGTCTCATTTGTCAAATCCAAAAAGGTAAAATGAAAATAGAATCTCATTAAAAACGGAATCCGTACCCTACCTTGTCCAAAAGCATAATACCATGCCATTAACACAAACATTTAATGAAAAAAAATCTCGAGCTCTTGTCCCTTCTCCATGTAATCTACATCCCATTCCAATTGTAAATACTCTAGCAGCTCGTGTCCTCGTTCTCTGGTAAGTTTTTAGGGTTTGCCATGTCGGTCAAAACAATTAGTTCAGAGAAAGAAAGAGTTTGTTCTAAGGGAGAAAGAGTAAGGGCGTAAGGGAGAGAGGAAGGCTTAGGTGGAATATCCATTTTAATAGAGTATAACTACTAAAATAACCTTGAAATTTGTCATTCAAATTAAAAAAACGGCTGAAATGTACTAGAGTTTTCGTCGGAAGAACGGCAAATGATCACTAGCTAAAATGTACACTAGATGTGGAGAAGTTGAAAGTTAGGTACAACATGCAAAAGTGGTACTCATCAGAGCAAAAGTGGATTTTTCTTCATTTATACAATTTTTTGACTATTACTCCTATTAAATCAAATTAACCTTCAAAATCTAACTAAATAAGAACTCGGATCCATTAAAAAGTACTTCGTATAATACTTATTACTACTCCGTATAAGAACTTAACAAAGAAACCCTTAGTTTCCGTTCTCTCTCCAGGGTTACCGTAAGGTAATCGCTAGTTTAGGATCGCCCGCTATCGGCAAAACTGAGGAGCGGGGCTGGTTTTCCAGCCTCTTGTGGGTTATCGGCAATCGGATTCGGCAGTCTGGTTTTGGAAGGAGGTTTCGCTTGAGGGGCGTGTAGGGCTTCTGGTTTGGGATCAACGACTTCAAGAGGACCTGGACGGAGCCCACAACACCGACGGTTGTTTCAGTAAGAGGGCAAGACATCTGGATTGCATGGAAAGCTTTGTTGATCAATATAAAAAGATGGCGATTGGTGCAAGGGAAGAATAAATGGATCTCGATGAAGCTGATCTTGAGGATTCTCCGGTTGTGGAGAATAAACCGGGGTTCCCGGTTGTGGGAATCTTGCTGACAGATAGGAATGTCAAATTTCCAGCCTTCTAGGAACTCATGTCATCGCTATGGAGGCCGGGGAAGGGAATTTCGATTAAAGAAGTAGGTGATAAGAGGTACCTGTTAACTTTTTATCATTTTGTTGATATGAAACATGTGCTAGATGGTGGTCCTTGGAAATTTGAGCGTAATTTGCTGATTTTGAAAGAAGTTAATCCGGATGATATTCCACATAAAATTTGTTTAAATGAGGATGAGTTATGGGTTCAAGTTCATGATGCTCCCTACAACCTAGTGAATATAGGTACTGCTAGGTGAGTTGGTACTTTTATTGGAAAATTTATAAGATATGATGATAATGAGTATAGTGAGAAGTGGGAATCTTATATGAGAGTCAGGGTGAGTATGAATGTGGAAAAGCCTTTGAAAAAGAGTACTAATCTTAAGAAAGAAGGAAGAAGATATTGGTATGAAAAGCTCCCAACTTCTGTTTTATATGCGGCATAATAGGGCATTCAGATAAATTTCGCCTACTGACTTATGAAGAGGATCTGGATCTGGTGAAAAATTTCGAGGTCCAGCTTAGAACAGGTAGCGGGGTGAACACTAGCCCAATAGGAGAAAATAAATGGCTGGTGGACGGATCGTCAAGTTCTAGCAGGGATCACATGAATATGGGGGACAATAAATTTGATAGCAGAATGGGAGGAGGGGGGAAGGAGTCTATCCTAGAAACAACGCAGAACACAACTAGAGGCGTGGAAATTGAAACAAATGAGGAGGCATCGGGAGAACAAAAAAGAAGACGGATTTGGGAAACCCAGAGAGAGGACAGGCTCGTGGGGGACAACATGGCGCTTGATGGAGCAAAAAGCGGTGAAGTGGCGGGCTTCAACCAGTAAGCCCGCCGAAGCTGCTTCAGTCAGGACCAGGGCGAAGGATATGGGAGATTGTGCTGTTCGGAAGGTTGGGACAAGAGTTTTACATCATTAGTATTATTATTTTTCTTTCGAGACAATTTTATTTTTTGTGTGTTTTTTCGCATTTTTGTTTGTTTCTGTTGTAAGACTGTGGATTTGGATGTGAGTGATGGAAGGATTGAGGTAACCGTCTTTGGCTTAGTTGTGCCTATTAAAGGATCAACGAGTTATATTGCTTCTTTTGAGAAATTTAACTCTGAGTCTGGTTCGAGGGACAACGGTTGTCAGTAATTTTTTGGTCTGATTACCTACTATATGAATGATGTGTTATCAATATAAGCCTATTTCTTTCCAAAGAAAAACTGAATAAATAACTAAGCAAGAATCCATATCCATTAAAAACGTACTCCGTATAATATTTATTACTTCGTATAATGATGATTTTAGGGTCTGTTTGCAACAACTTCTGTTTTTTAAAAAGTGTTTTTTTAATGAAATGAGGAAAAGTGATTAAATAATACTCCCTTCGTCCCAGGGAGAAGTTCCCGGGTTGACTTTCACACATATTAAGGAAATAAAGTTACTGGGGGGTAAACTTTACTGTTTGGCACTGTTTCAACACTGTTTGGCACTGTTTCGACACTGTTTTGCACTGTTTGGCACTGTTTTGATGTAGAATAACTTTCCATTTAGGGAAATGGGAACTTCTTGTTGGGACTGCCAAAAAAGGAAATTGGGAACTTCTCCCTGGGACGGAGGTAGTAGTTGATAGTGTTTGAGAAAAGGGATAACTGTCAAATAGGTCCTCGAACTTTCATAAAAATGTCAATTAAGTCCTTCTATAGGAGGTTCTGTCCGGCCGTCGCGATTTGGGGCAGTTCCCGGTAGAATTTTTTGATGAAATTTTTTGAGCATCTTATTCACCAAGTCTAGTTTACTCATACCAAATTTCAGCTAAAAATTCAATCAGGAACACATTCAAATTAATTCTTGAAAATAACTGCGCATTTTTGCGTTCTCGAATTAATTTGAATGCGCTCCCGATTAAATTTTTAACTGAAATTTGGTATGAGTAAACTAGACTTGATGAATAAGATGCTCAAAAAATTTCATCAAAAAATTCCACCGGGAACCGCCCCAAATCGCGACGACCGGACAAAGTCTCCTATAGAAGGACTTAATTGACTTTTTTATGAAAGTTCGAGGACCTATTTGACAATTTTCCCTTGAGAAAAAAATGATTTTAAAAGTAAAAGTGGGTAATGTTTGGTAAAATAAGTGCTTTTTGTGTAACAGAAAAAGTAAAAGCACTTTTGACGCGAAAGCCGAGAAAAATAAAAGTTGTAGTGTTTGGGAAAATAAGTGCTTTTTTAAAGCTAAGAAATACTTTTTTAAAAGGAGTTGCAAACCAACCCTTAATTGGACTAAATTTCTGGTCAAATGTGATTTGTTTTAATAAATGTTGATGTCAGCGTATTTCAACTACTTAAGTTTGGCTGACCTGTTCTGTTAATGAAAAGTGAAAACTGTCAAACTAAAATCACAATGAATTCTACGATTTCTATCCGAAGATCGAATGAGTTCATTTGCCAATCCTTTTTAGTTAATTAATTTAATACTTAGTTAATGAATGCATCTGGTAGTCTGTCTCAGGTACGGTGAATCAGTAAAAGAAGTAAAGCACACCCTTTCTAAATTCCGTTGTTCTTTACTCCGTAATTAACATTTGAAAGGGAAGTAGCAGCTAGCAGCACCACTTTTTTGAATATTTGAATCTTCTCCCACGTGAAATAAAAAAATTTCCAGGTAAAAAAAGCAAATGCATAAGAATTCAGTGCAGAATTGCAGATATATATACATTTTTTGTTGCAGATAACCATATTTCGCTTATTTTGTTTTTTTTAGTCAAATCCCCATATGACTCTCGACCCTGGAGGTACTACCGAATCTGGTGTACTCTCTCTACGCGGTTTCACGAGGATTCATCCTGGAGGTTACGTTAATTATAATAATAATAACTATAGCTATTATATTTGTTATTATCATTATTATTAGGTCGGAAACACTCAAACCCATTTCATTTTTTATTTTCCTTTTCACTCCTGAGTTTTTTTTTATTATTCCGGGTCTTCTTCGGCTGGTACTGCGAAGTTGATTTGTACTGAGTCAACTCGGTGATTGGGGGACTCGTTCTAGTTCAGTTTGATGTTTATTGTCCCATAGATCTGTAAAAGGAGTCTGGGTCTGCTTTTTTATGTTGAACAAATGAAGGGGTACTTGGGATTGCTGGTATTTATTTTGGTTTATCAGAATTTGACTTCTGGTTGGTCCCTCAAGAATGAAGGTATTTGCTCTAAAAAGGAGTGATTAGTGTTAATTTTGTTTTTCAATGTTAAAGTGGGAGATATTTAGCAGAGTGTAAATCGTGCAGGTTTGGGTGTGTTGAGATCTAAGGAGAAAGTGATTAGTGCTAGAGCATTATATCAAAGTGAAGGTTTGAAGAGCTGGAAATATGGATTGGGGAGCTCAAATTTTAGAGGATATTTTGTGTCTCAGTAAGCCTTTTCTTCTTTATATATAATTGAATTTTATCCAGTTTTTACTTTAATCGTCACCTTAACAGCTGGAGTATTTGCTATTATATTGGTTTTTTATGTTCTTGTCTGTATCTATATGTTGTGATTTGGGGTTTTTTATAGATAAATCAGAAGTTGTGAACTGATTGCAAAGTTAGCACTTGCATTTGCATTTTGTGTCTCAGTTAGTTCATATATTAAGTTGATTTCTGATCCATTTTATTCTCCAATGCTCACATTCTTTTCATAAAAAAAACTAAAATGGGATTCAAGTAGTTTGCTTTAGGCTCACCCGGCGAATTGAGGCTTATACAGTTACCCATAGACGATTATTTTGAACTGCGATAAAAACTTAATACGTAGTAATATGTTTACCCAATTTTGACTATTAATATTTTTCTAACTAATAAATATTACTTTAGGAATAAAATATGTTAGCTTTCTTTATCTAGGGCCAAATAGATACTACTACATATTATTTTGGAATAAAAACATGCCAGTCTTACTCACAGGTAAAGTAGGTACGTTTTTCTCATGATTGGGATAATAATTTCTATACGTATAATATAAACTGTCCTACCAAAAAGCATCATAATCGTTTAGTGAAAAACAAGTCTTATTAAACTACACCACATAAATAATATTAGCCAATTTATTAGGCAAAAGGCTCATACGCTTTATGAAATTCACAATGGGGTCGGTGTGGCTCAATTGACCCATAATGCAGTAGGACTCAGATCCACATGTCTGAGTCCACATGCCTTTGCTTATTATATTTCAGTGTAGACTCTAAAACACTTCATGGACAAGTTTCTATTGCTTCGCCTTGAGACCAGCCTCAAGGCATCAATAACTTATGTTAATCTTTAGGTCTATTATATGTAGATCTATCAAATGATTCAGATCATGTTTTCTTACTTTGTAAATTCTATATAGAGGATGTCTTTCGCGCATCTCTTTCCTAAGTCTGCCACCATGTTTTTTGTTATGTTTGTAGAAAAATAACAAAGTTTAGAAGGGTAGCTCGTAGGGAATTGCACAAAGTCCGTTTTTTCCCATTTCATTACCCACCCAGACAAGGTGCTACTGCTCCAACACCATCTCCTTCACCATCCCCATCATGGAGTCCACATGGACCAGTCCCTGCACCTCCACCAGATTCTTCTGTGCTAGAAGTTGCTCGACCCGGGCCCACTCCCGTCTCTTCTGTTTCCCCAGCTTCACCTCCTTCCCCTGAAGAAGGTAGTTTTAGAAGCAATTCATTTAGAAATGGGAATAAAAAACGTACCAAGTTATGGATAGTCGCTGCAACAGTTGGTGGATCAATTATGCTTATGGTTTCTGCAATTTGTGTGGTTATCTGTCAACGCAATAAATTTGCTGTGGTCAAACCTTGGGCTACCGGGATAAGTGGGCCGCTACAGAAAGCTTTTGTTACGGGTATGTCTCTACTTGCATTTAATCTATGTCATTCTATATTTCATAAAACAACATTAGTGTGCTGACCATTGAACAATGTCATGTGTGCACTTCGTGAGACACTCAGGGCCTGTTCAAGTTACATATTTATATATGTAATAGCGCTATAACCTTTTAATAACCATTTATTCAGTCTGTAGAAACGTTAAACTACTTCCTTCCAAAATGAAGTCTTTGTGCACCATGCTGTGGTCAACCTAACTTTTTAATTTTTGATTTTACTTCGTATACATCAATTTTTTTTCATACTCGAATTCATTTTTCGCGCTTCAATATAATTTTTAGCGTACTTCCTAAATACATACAGAATACTTTTTAATTTTGTATAGAACTTCAAATGTTAGCAAGGGGCAATTAATTTTATCACAATCATCAAACCGAACTGCGGACTTCATTTTGGTGCAGATGTAGTTTTTATCAAGCTCTATCTTCCAAAACCCTCCATTCAAACTGACCCTAAGGGTCAATTTGGATGAAGGGTTTTGGAGGGCTAAGTTTATTGATATTATGATATACCGTATGTCCATATTTGAGATTCTATAAAAATTGAAGGAATAACACAATTAACCAATCAATGGTCTCCTGCTTAGTTTCACATTGTTCTTTAGTCAATCCAGTAGAGACAAAGCTCTCAGATACAATCATACAATACCATTAGGGCTCCGTTGTTAAATATTCTTTATTTGGCACAAAACCCCCTTTTCCTGGAAAATTTTTCACGTGTTTGGACTTTGGAACTAAAGTTTAGTTTCATTCTTCAGACTTCTGGAAAACGACTTCTTGTTTTGATAACCGGAAGTCATTTTCCTGAGCCAGTTTTACGTTTTCTATTTTTATGGGTCAAACATCGTATCATACTGTTATACATACAATAGCTTGTTGTACGGGAAAAAAAATCTCCTGGTAACATTTTATTCGGCAGGCAAGCATTTTTACTGGAATGAAATAGAGTCTAAGTCACACATGTACACTTTCTTCCTTTTATTGTGGCTTTGATCAGGTGTGCCAAAGCTTAGGAGGTCAGAACTAGAGACGGCTTGTGAAGAATTTAGCAACGTGATTGGTTCTTCATCTGTTCATAGATTGTACAAGGGAACATTGTCCAGTGGAGTTGAAATAGCCGTTTTATCACTTTCCGTGTCATCTGCTAAGGATTGGTCAAGAGATCAAGAATCTCTGTTCAGACAAAAGGTAACTTTTTTTTATTCTTCCACTTTT